CGATATCTTTAGCATATCTGTCTGTGCTGTATTTAATTCCACCACTGCTTTTCTATACGGCCTCCCTCTTTTCTAGTCACAGCAGGATGAACTCCATTGAGCATACGCCTATTCGCGTTGATGGTGCTGATGCCGACGGGGTTTCTTTCAGTAGCTCATCGGTATCGCTGGAGGGAATCAGCTATGGCAGTCGGAGCAGATGTCAATCCCAGATTGTTGGTGGGGGGTCCATTGGAACCACAAACCATTCCTCATCCCTCCTCCTAGCGCCTAATATGGACACGACGCGTTCGGGCAATCTCTCGGACTACACGTCTGATGCTCTGCCTCATTCGACAGGATACTTCGTTCAGTGTAAGAATCCCCCCTACTCTGTTTTCGATACAGGCACACACTCCGTCAGAATGCTAATTAGCTTCCCCTGGCTACTTGGCAGTCATGTCGCCTTCACGATATTTCAAGGTTGCTTCTGCTAGTGCTACTCCGACGGAAACAACAACCGACTTGGGTACAGACACGCCGGTTGAAAAAACAGAGGGGGTATAAAGTTTGGTGGTAAGGGCAGCCCTCGAACAGTAACAAAAAACGTTTATATTTGTCTTCTTCATTTTAATTCTTTTCACACAACACCTTCGATAGAAATTAGTACTGTGCAGTATGTTTTCGATTAAAATAAGATAAACAGTGGTCTGCTACTCGAGATTTTGACTCTGTGCGGTAGTCCGGTGCCAAGCAATTAATAATTAGTAACGAATTAGTCAGTCAACTTCCTGTCCCCTTGGCCAAAAAGGGGTCACGTCTCAAATGACTGCATTCTATTTCTTTTTGTCCGCCATTGTAAAAACTGAAGCCGGCTCGTAATTGCAAACCGGATTCTTTAAGGTCCTACAATCTGTGGAGCTCTTTCAAGTTCGACTTTTGGCCAGCTCCAACTAATCCACTAGAATTTCAGCATCGTTAACAATGCAGCTTTTTGAGGGACTAATTGACTGGACAAACGTTTTTTCTTTCTAACAGTTTTTACTAAATAGTGTTTTCTGGTTAAGAAGCGATGTGCCTCCCCACTAATTGCATCCCGGTGCACGTCGGTGTCGGTTGTTATTTCAGACGACTATCGCGTTAATATTCCCCTGTTGACTGTCCTGCACTGTCGATTTTCGCATTCCTCTAGCTGGCGAGGTGGCTGATGTCCTGTCTGCTCTCTCAATGACCCTGGCCAACGTTCGTCTACCGGGTCTGGATCCAGTCATCTCGGAAGTCTTTCAACAGTCCCCTGGCTACCATGATCTGGCCCACGTGGGCATCCGTGCCTCCCACCGGCATGTCGGCAACAGACGCCTTTCTACCAGCCCCGTGCCCTCCGTGCGTTCAGAAACCAGCGGTCATAGCGGCTCCTATTTGAGCAAAATGGGTCTCTATGTGGCAATCTCTCCAGCCAATGCCAGCTACGAGATCACACGGACGTATCCCTGCATGCTGGTAGTTCCTTCGGTACTTATCCTTTGTCCTGTTCCTTCGTACTGGCTCTTACATGTTAATCTCATCCATGCTTCTGGATTATTCTGCACGATTAGGCTTTTAGCTACGAGTTTCTGAGGTAAGTTGTATTCAAATTGCAGCTTCGTAGGTGCTTTCAGTATTTTGGGATGCCTCTTACTAAAAAGGATCTGCTTTTTGTTTGTTCGACGGAGTACCTGGATGTGTTAAACGATGTCAACAATCATATGGAATTCAGAAGAGCAGTTAGCGAGCATACGTAACCTTTCGATAAACCCTCATCGGGTCATTACATTTAGATGAGAACAGGGTCATTCCCATATAAATGTAATGGCCCCATAAAAATTTATCGAAAGCTTACATATTCTCCAAACTGCTCTTCTTAATTCTCTGATAGGAATTTTTGCAACCTTAAAAATAGTGTATATGCTACACAACGGGCGCCCACTGATCACGTTACAGGGCATACTCGTGCCGTTGCGCCTTGAGCTCTGAAGTCCCGTCAGAGGCCCCTCGGCGGCAGAATGACTTTCCCGATAACGACAAAGAATACGGTTGTGCTATGCGCTTCGAACACCGCCGTTCTGGTTCAATCGACCATGCGCTACACCCATCGATTTTGCGCGAAGCCCATTCTAATCTCAGAAGTGATTTGCAACTGCTTTAGAGAGATCTTCACAATGGTCTTTTATTGGCGCTTTTGCCCCCTTCATCTGTGAGTACCCGTACTAAAGTCGCCGTAGGATATCCGCTTTGACAGACTCTCGTCATCTATAACCACACTGGGACTTCTTCAAGACAGTTGCCTCTGCCCCAACATGCTGCAAATCTTCATCAGGCCAAAAACTTTGTACCTTCTGAATTTTGCTTTAGTAAGGATGATGTCGCGATTCCACGTTTAAGACCTTGGCCGGCTTCGAAGATCTGATATAATTTTTTTATTGAAACTACCCTCTCTATGGCAGCCGATGTGGCTACTAATGTCAGGCTTCATCACCTTACATAGATTATCGGATGATTTAAAATGCCATTGGATGCTGGTTGGCCAGTGATCGCTGCCTTCTCGTTGTTAGTGCGAAGTTACCGCATCCGGTGACCAAAGGCCCACTCTCCGTTGTGTTGGATGGCAAACAATGTTCCCCCCATAGCCAGTCGTGAACACCGATCGCGTAGAATTCTGCAGATGCCCGCACGCGACACATGTTAGGAATTTTTCGATTGAACCTTCCCCCCAAGAGCGGACTTTTTTTCTCCTAAACCCCATACCCCATCAGATCCTCCTCCCTGCAAGAACGACAGTTTTTGTCCTTAAAAGTCCCAAGGAGCTTTTTCACTGTCTGCTCAAAAAAACTGTGTACCACCTCATGGCTCAGGAAAATTGTCCCCGCCAAAAAATGGAGATATCATTTTTTGCTACCAAGACACACATGTACAAATAGGGAACTCAAAGGCAATCTACCTATGTATTCTTTGAATAAACTGATATTGATAGTTGCCATTCTCGATAATTGTCCATCAGAATGTTGGAAAACACGAACCTAAACAGTGCAGGGACTAGTACAAAACGCTGTC